CCCGGGCGGGGGGGGGGGGGACCCAGGGGGTTGGGATCCGTTGCGGGGGAGGGAAAAAAAAAAAAAAAAAAAAAAAAAAAAAAAAAAAAAAAAAAATTGCTGATGTGGTTCTGTCTACTGATTAGATTTTAACTGATACAGTATTATTCATTAGTTCTGGAAAATTTTCTGCCTTTATTGCTTCAAATGTTATTCTGATTTAGTCTATCTCTCTTCTCCATTAGGAACTCCAGTTTGACATATATTAGTATGACCTTTCCACTCCATACTCTCTCTCTCTTAGTTTTCTTTTTCATTTTTTCATTACTCTTTCTCCCTCTTCTACATTTTGGATAATTTCTATTAGCTTATCTTCCAACTTACAAATCCTCTCTTCAATTATGTCTAACATTCTGTTAAACTTTTCTGCAGATTAGATATGTATATATAATTTATATCTATCTATCAGAATTTTTAGTGGTTTTCAGGAAGAGGGTATATCTTGGGAGGGGGTCAGACCTATTACTAGAAACTGGTATGTCAATACGTGGAAACTTTTTTCTAACAAATGTAAGCAAGGCTAGTATTTATACTTTTGGTTTCTATAATATATTCTAGCAACAGATTTGATCTAGCACCTCTAAAATCTAGAGTATGGCATTTTGGGAGAGAGTTCCCTACAACTCTGATCTTTTGTACACTAAATATTGTAGCACAACTTTCTCATGAGGTCATGACCTAAGATAATAAACCAAGTGCTTTACCAGAAAACCGTATGGGGAGAGCAGCCACCAGTGAACCAGACTTCCAGACTAGATGGAAATGGCACACATTCCTTACTTCCTCCTTCCCTTCATCCTTCTTACCCTTCATTTCTTCCTTTATGTGTGCATCCATATATTCATAATGATATCACACATTCATGTAAGAGTAGGTAGAGGGCCATTACAAGAAAGCAGATTCTCATCTGTGGTAAAATCTGATCCTGACTATAAATCTTGGGAGCTTCTGGAAAGGGTGGGAAATAATTAATGGTGAGATGAGGAGCAAAGGGTGCTGTATCAAGACCACATGGAAGCTACATAACCACAATTTTTAAACTTCTCTGGTTAATTGGCCCAGGAATGGGAATAGGTACATTTCCCAAAGTAAGGATTCAACATAAAGGGAGCTATAATTTAAATATCTCAGTACTTTGTGTTGAAGAGTAGAACAGGTACTATTATTACCATTTTGTACACTGAAGCTGAGGCTTAAGAGTCTCAAAAGTTAGTTTTTCTAACTGCCTATTATACAAACTGTTGCTGGCAAACCAGGATAGGAACTTGTGTCTTTTGACCTTCTGGGTGCTCCCCACTGTCGTTCTTTATCAGGGCAGCCAGCAGAGCAGGAAGTGGCTCTGTTCCAGCAGCAGTGTTTTAGGATTATGCACAGAGGCACCTTGCTTAAAGTCTGTGAATTGACTCTGGAGACCCAACAGTTGCAGTAATCTGGTACCATTTGCTTATAGCATCCAATTTCCCACAATGAGCAGTCTTTAATACCACACAGATTTTCTTTAGTCCTCCTCCCCCACCACACACACCAATTAGTGGGCAGGGTCAATGACTGAGCTAAGTTCAGGTGTGGAGGCCCATTCAGAACAGCCAGAATGGAACCGTTTTGCAGCATATGAGCAAAGGAAGAAGCCCGTTTCAGAGAATAGAGACCGCTAGCCCTTCAAAAAGAGGCAAAAAGAAATAGAGTAAAAAAGAAAAAAAAAAGAAAGGAAGAAGATTAATTATTTTTTGGTTTATAAGGCACAGTTTGAAACCCTGCAGTTTGTTTCCATTATATTTTCCTATAATACTTATCTTTTTACTTGAGATTCTCTGAGTGAGTTTCTGTGCCTTGTGACCAAATGGGCCCTTGCTAAGTCACCAACCATGGAATGCTGGGGCACTCACTGCAATTGTTCCTGGTACAATATGACAATAGTCAATTAATTGACAAGGACTTTGAACACCTGGTAGGTGGACCAACCATGATGTTGAGTAGGGAATATAAAGACTACAGAACCACAGTCCTTGATTTAAAAGAGCTGGTGATTTATTCTGTCATCTACATAAACTTTAGCTTGGGAAGATAATTTGACAGAGACAAAACCAGGAGCAAATATATCACAACAGAATCAAGTGCTTGACTGGGTGGAATGAATTCTAAGGACAATATAAATTCAGAAATGGAAATTTAAGGAATTCTTAAAGGAAGTGAGGGAGGCTTAAAGTTCACTGCGAAAGAACTATCAGGATGTGGATTGATGAAGGGAGTGGCGAGGCTTGGGGAGACGGCGCTTGTCAGATCCTCAGCAACGGGAGGGAGTGGTGGGTGAAACTGCAGATGCGTAGGGCAGGGATGGGGGGTTGGCAGGGAGGGTTGCAGAACTGCCAGCTGCCTAGACTTTGCGGAAAGCCTTGTTCAGGTTTTTAAAATTACTCTTTCCAGACTTCCTCTGAGATTTCTTCTTTGGCTAACATTCCTTAGCCTGGAGCGCGTCTCCTGTCCTTGTCTTTCTCCTCTTTTCTTTTCTTTCTTTCAGATTATTAAATTTAAACCGTTCTTTGTGACTCTCTTTCCTGGGGGAGTCGCTGCAAGAATGAGAGGAATGATGATGCGTTTGGAAAACGATGCATCTCTCTGAACTTGAGTCCTTCTCTGAGTTGCGTAACTTCCCTGATAAGCCCAGATGATGTCTCTTACTACGACCCTTGTGGCTGTCCTTCACCCCTTGGCCGAGCAGGGTCCTCCCCCTACCACTCCCACTTTCTCCTAGTCTCTCCTCCCCAGGAATTTCATCACTTCCTAGAACAGCCAGAACGTTTGTGGTCTCAGTTAGTGTTTAACCAAACATCTATCTCTAAGGGGTGGGCTGAACCGATACAGAAGGAAGATTGATAGCTTGAGACTCAGGAAGACAACTTCTGCAGGGTGACTCCCTGGCTTCTGGAGGAGAGGGAAGGAGGACAGTGGGCCAGTGGCACAGAAGTGACACACGATGGAATCTGGCTTCACCTCTAAGGATGCTTATCTAAGCCATTTTAACCCTCGGGATTACCTAGAAAAATATTACAACTTTGGGACCAGAAACTCTGCAGAAGACCAGATTCTGAGGCATGTTCTGAAAAACCTTTTTAAGATATTCTGCCTAGGTGAGTTTGTCTGTTGCCTGTGTGTCTTTTTCTAAATTTGAGTCATAGAGACAGAGTCTCAGGGCATGACTGGGTTTTGTGTCCAGTCATCATTATTTGACAGCCTCTGTGGCATCACCTGTTTATTTAACTAGGATAAAAACCAGTGTTGGCATAGCTACTTTACAGTATTACAAAATGCTTGTATATCCATGATCTCATCTGGTCATGCAAAAGGGAAACCAGAGGGCCCAAGTGCTGTCCTTGAGTCTACACTGATTTGCTAGGTGACTTGAGGGAGCCAATTAACCTCAATGTGCCATATAAGAAATGAAGATTCTAACACTTACTCTGTTTCTAACTCGAAGGAATGTTGTGAATATGCATGAGACAAAGACCTCCCAATATATGAAGAACTGGGAGCTTTTTGGAGAAAGACATTATGTAAAGTCAATTTTTTAAAAAAATTAATTTTCTCCGAAAGTATTCCTTAATAGTTTTACATTTTTTTGTGTAGCAGTCTTTCTGGATCACTGGTTTGTACACCAGATGTAGATCTTCTTTTCCATCTCCTAGACTTTAAAATAGCCCATCAACATACCTGAACCTTGGATTGGGGAATAGAAAATGAAAAGATGTTTTAAAAAAAAAATTTGAGGGAAGAGTTGTGAATAGTGGTGGTATGACTTTGGGGATCTCCAACACAATCACAGTGAAGACAGTGTAAATTCAGCTTTGTCCACTGCCACATGGCTCCTGACCGCCCTTTTTCATTCCCCTGTCCAACCCAGATGGTGTGAAGGGAGACCTCCTGATTGACATCGGCTCTGGGCCCACCATCTACCAGCTCCTCTCTGCTTGTGAATCCTTCAAGGAGATCATCGTCACTGACTACACAGACCAGAACCTGCAGGAACTGGAAAAGTGGCTGAAGAAGGAGCCTGGCGCCTTTGACTGGTCCCCAGTGGTGACCTATGTGTGTGATCTTGAGGGAAACAGGTAGAGAAATTGATCTGATTCTTGGCTTGCTGGGGCTACCTGAGTGGAGTGATAGTTGGTTTTTCTGAAACAAGAATTATCTTTAGATTCCAAGTTGAAAAAACAAGGGAGACAGGAAGATAGAGACAAAAGAGAAATCCAAATGGAGAATGAAAGCTAAGGGGGGAGAGACAGAGACAGAGACAGAGACAGAACTGAGATACAGGTGTGTGTGTGTGTGTGTGTGTGTTTGTGGGCTTGTGTGTGTATGCATGTGAGTGCATGCACCAGAACAGGAAAAGACACAGGGAAAGAGTCAAAGAGATGGATACTGAGCTAAGAGGAATGGACACACAATCTTTCCAGGCCTGTGGGGTGTGGAGGTAGTGTATGGGTCAGGTACCATGGGACCTAGTTTTAGGACAACTTCAAGTAAGAGGCTAGCCCAACTCCTCACCAGCAGCTTCTGGGTATCAGGGCTTGCCCTCTCCCCTGACCCCAGTGCCATTCTGTTGCTAGTCATCCCAGCCCATAGGAATTGGCTGTGAGTGTGGCCAGTGCTGACACCACCAGATACAACAAAAAGCTGACTAGGTTTTGAAACCGAGATAAGCAACATAAAGGAATTATTTGGAAAGAGTTTATTACCCACCATCCATAAAATTAGAGCTTTACATACTCACAACTAATGGTCAAAATCTTACACTACCACATGTTGAAGTAAATTTATACAAGTGAGTTTTGTTTAAATTATTGATTTCTGCCCACACAGGAAATTGACAACAGCCGGCCAGTCAGAGGTGGCCAGGTCTGTGTTTCACTTTGTCTTTCTCCATCTTTTGCTGATTGTCCTGCAGTGTCCTCTCTCCTGCCGAACTGACCAACCTCCTGGAGCATCATGTCTTTGCTGCTGTTAATATTGCCAAGACCCTGCAGGCTCCTTTGCAAACTGCATGAAAAGACGAGTATTTCTCCTTCTGGGATCCTGCTGTCCCTGTCTGCTATTTCTTATATGCTTAGTTATACTTTCCTTTCTCTGTTTTTATGCTCTTGTGGTTTTTTTTTTTTTTAAACCTTTTTCCTGTCTTTCCCCTCCTCTACCCATGATTTAATTTTCACATGACTCTCTCTCTCCTCATGCCTCCAATCCACTTTTTGCTATATTTCCCCCCATTTTGCTTATATGCTACACACGGTATGTATTGCGCAACATCCCCTGTCTTTCCTTTTTTTGTCTTTTCATTCACAATGGGAAAGTACGTCTATATTTAAATTAACATATCCAAGGAAAAGTCTCTAATTTCCTGGCGAGACAATCTCTCTCAAGAAACAAGTACTAACACTTTTTGGCTCATGGTTAAAGGAAGTAGCATTCATTCATTCAACAAACCTATATGAAGCAACTATAATGTGCCACAGTACTAGCTACTGAGACAGAATGGTGGACAGGACAGGGGAGGGCCCTTTTCTCCCAGAACTCACATTAGGAAAGGCAGGCAAGGGACAGATTATTTGGAGCCTTCTAGGCCAAGTCAAAGATCATGAACTTCAAGTGTAATGAGAAGGCATTAGAGTTATGGCCAGGAGAGTGTGATGAGACCCAATTTACATCTGCAATGTTCTCTCTGGCTGCTGTGTGGAGAATGGATTGGAGGAGCTTACAGTGGAACAAAAGACGGAGAAAGGAGACAATCTAAGTCCAGGTGAGAGGTGATGGTGGCTTGGACTATGGCGATGGAGAGAGGTAAATGGTTTGGAGACTAATAGCTGAGCTAGAATGGATAATAGTTGGTAATGATTGGTTATGTGGTGTGAGGAGAGAGAGATATCGAGGGAGACCCCCACGTTCCAGAACCTGAACAAGGAGAATTGAGGTAACATTCTTGAATCCCAGGGATCAATGTAAAATCATGAGGGTTTACTATATTCCTAAAGAATATGCCTGCTTCCGCTCTCTTTAGGAAGTGATGGTCAATTCATTTCTCTATAATTGCACTTATAATTGATTTCCATCTGCGTGCCCACTTTTGTTTATTCCTGAGAGTCAGTCTATCTTCTGAAATTAACTCTAATGTCAGCTTCTACTTGAATTTCTTTTTTTCTAATGTTAACATTTATTTAACCCAATATATCCAAAATATTATTGTTTCAACATGTAATCAATATAAAAAGTATTACTAAGTTTTTCATACTAAGTCTTCAAAATCTGGTGTGTATTTTACCCTTATAGAACATTGCAATTCAAATTAATCATATTCAAATGCTTCATAGTCATATGTGGCTAGTGGCTACCATACTGGATAGCACAGCCCTAGAGAAATAAGGCTCTGTTTTTTTAACTTTTACTATAGTGATTTATGACAGTGATTGCTTTGGTAAAGTGGGGAGTCTCCATACCTCCTGCCCTTCCTGATGTAAATCAGAGATTTTATGTGGTGAGTTTGCATAAAATGTTGGAACCTGAATTAGAATCTAAAGCTTGAACACTTTATGGTGTTCAAAATAGTGTTTCTTTTTTTTTAATTGTGGTAAAATATGTATAACATAAGATTTGCCACTTTTACAACTTTTAAACATACAATTGCATGGACTTAATATTAATTATATTCACAACGCTATGTGACCATCACCTGTATCTATTTCTAAAACTTTTTCATCATCCTAAACACAAAGTCTGTACCCATTATGTAATCACTTTCCATTATTCCTTCCCCCCAGTTTCTGGTAACCTGTAATCTACTTCTGTCCTGGAATTCTTTTTCTTTTTCTATTTATTTTTTCTCAATTGACCCATGAGGATTGTATATATTTATGGGGTACAGTGTGATATTCAGGAACATTTATCCAGTGTTGCAATGATCATATCAGGGTAATTAGCATACCCAACACCTCAAACACTTGTCACATGCTCTATTTACAATAGCCAAGTTATGGAACCATTTTCAAAGTCCATCACTGGATTATTTGATAAAAAATACAATGGAATACTACTTGTCCATAAAAAAGAATAAAATTCTGTTATTTGAAGCAACATGGATGAACTTGGAGAAAATAAGTGAAATAAGCCAGGCACAGAAGGAGAAATACTACATGTTCTCACTCATATGTGGAAGCTAAAAAGTTGATCTCATAGAAGTAGAGAGTAGAATAGTGGTTACTAGAGATGGACAAGGGGTAGGGGAAAGGGGGCATAGAGAAAGGGTGGTCAGTGGATACAAAGTTGCAGCTGGGCAGGAGGAAGAAGATCAGGTGTTCTGGAGCACTGTAGGGAGACTACAGTCAACAACAAATTATTGTACAACTTCAAGTAGCTCGTAGAGAGGATTTTGAAAGGTCCCAATACTCAAATTTCTTTAACCTCTGATTGTCTATTAATGGTCTGCTGAATTCTGGCAATTTTCTTCCTCTCAAGGTTATTAGGAGTATTCTAAACTTTATATTCATTTTCTTACATACTGTTGATACACTGCTTTATTGGTAGTAAATGTGGATGTCAAATGTAAGTTCTCAAGGTGACTCATTGGTGGTACAAATGTTTATTAAACAGCAGTATGAATAAACTAGGGGTTTTAATTTTTTTCCCAATTAACATTTCGCTATCATCCAGAGTTGCTTAACTCTGTTATTTTATACTGATATTTTATTACTTTCATATGACATAGTAAGTTCTAAAATCAGGTAGTATAATGCTCCTACATTGTTCATTTTCAAGATTGTTCTGGAAATTCTAGTGCCACTATATTTTGACATAAATTTTAGAATATGCTTGTCAATTTCTTCAAAAAAAGCCTAGTGAGACTTTGATTGGAATTTCTTTGGACTTAATGATAAATTTAGGAGAATAGTCTGTAATGTCTCCATTTATTTAGGACTTGTTTAATTTCTCTCAGCAATGTTTTGTAGTTAAATTTTTCCTAAGCGTTTCATGTTTTTTAATGCTATTGCTAGTTATATTTTCTAAATTTCATTTTTATTTTATTTTATTAATTTCACTTTTATTTCATTTGCTAGTATATAGAAATACAATTGATTTTTTGTACATTGCCCTTGTGTCCTGTGGCCTTGCTGACTTCACTAATTAATTTCAGTAGCCTTTTTTGTAGATTCAATAGGGTTTTCTCTTTTTTTTTTTTTTTTTGGCCAAAAAACAAGTCTTAATACATTAAAAAAGACTAAGATCATAGAAAATATGTTTTCTGACCACAATAACAGAAGGAAATTTAGAAAATTCACTAGTTTGTGGAAATTGAACAACACAGTCCTAAATAAACAATGGGTAAAAAGAAAAATCACAGGGAAATTAGAGAGTACTTTGAGATA